TTGAAACTAAACATTATATTGTTTTTTACAATCAAAAGGAATTTTTTTTGACGAGATTCCAAAGTTGACCGGATGAATCCATCTCTCGATTCGGGGCCACAAACAGTACTTCCTGCTTTAGTTACAAGTTTGACCATACGTTCTACTGCTTGGGTGTGACTTGGAAAGTTTTCAAACGCCCACGCACATTCTGGTTCAACATCATCACTTATGATGATGCTAATATTTGTCTTAATTCATCCGTGCGTGTATTGTTCAAAATAGGAGGAGATATTATTTCATATTGATTCCAGTTGATCATTTCGGTGTAATCATCTGCATGAAGCTGGAGGTCCGGTAATTGAAAATGACGAATGGCATGCTCTCCCTGTTCGTTTGGTAACTGTAATTTCTCTTGCTTCAATAATTTTCACATGTTCGCACAATTAATTGTGTTTGAACCGTAAGACAATAAAAGTCATACGGTGTTAAAATAAAATCTGGACGGCTAGGAATCTCAATGTTTAGAGATAATTGCACAAATAAAGGACAAAAATTAGCATTTGCATAGTTTTTAGGAAGTGGGATATCTAAAGTTTATGCTTGTTGAAGAGGATAAGGTGGTGGAATAAATCCATCTGGTAAAATCACTCAAAAATTACTCCTTAATTTCCCCCAGCATCTCAATTCTGTGCAATTGTTAATTTGCAATAAATACTGAGATTCTCTTACATGACTATAGTACCAATCGGGAGTCCATTCTGCCAGGCTTACATCAGCATTATCACGACCAGGATCTATGTATTCAGCAACAAGTGATTGATCATCAATAATTAATTTGCTCCATATTTGCGCGAAAATATCACCGGCCATTTTGAAGTTTTTGAGTTCAAGTTCATCATCAACTATACGTCGCCGATCATCAAGATGATTGTCAAAAGAATCATAAGGTAAGACAAGTCCAGATAATTGATGACTCAATGGGGTCATTTTACGCTCTACTCGATTAAAACAACTTCGTCCTGGAGCATTCATGATGATAAATATAGCATCAAGATCAAATTTACAAAAATGAGAAACGGCATGAGAGATAACTTGAGGAAAACGTGGATTTTCATCGGGTCCTCCGTCAACAGTTATAATTACAACTGGTTTTACACCATTATAGTCCGTTTTGGCCAGGGATTGGAATTCTGTTAGCTCTATAAGATGCTCTAAATCTATGCTATGAGTGTGCGCAGATGATGAATGTTTTCCTGATCTGATTGCAATGTACGTAGGCCCACTGTATGTCACGGCTTCAGGTCTACCCATTTCATCAGAAGTTATTTCAATACCAGCATATACTAAAGTTATTAATTTATGTTTTTCTGCTACAGCCCAGTCGTGATCTAGTAGTCGCACTCGATATTTCATATGTATCAGAAAAGGTGCTTGTTTTTCTACAGTAGTTTCATCAATCGGAATGCGTGCTTTGTCATCCTGTGATATGAAGAAAACCTGAGCAGGTCCAAGCATTAAGGCGAGAGACTCGATAGCCCGAATAGATGTAGTACAAAATTTACCATCTGGATGGCTTTTGTGTTCATCATTTGTTGCTCTAGCTAATTTCACCGGAACTTTTACTACGTGTTTTTTTCCTTCAGTTGTATAGACCATCTAGGTAAAAGACGAAAATAGGTAGCACTTCGTGATAGATTGAAACCTGACGCGTGTAGTTCTTTAACCTTCATCTAGAGTTCTACCGTTTCTTACCATTTCAGTTCGGTGTCTCTCATCTGCGCCACCTCCAAAGTTTGCAATTTCTGCTGAAACTTTCAACAGATTTGGTTGAGCTTCCTCCAAACGAGGGCGACCAACTGTTTCATGCACATTTAATTGTTGTTTTACAACTGGATTCTTGATAACGTCTTTTATTAATACCTGTCTTTTTTTTCTAAGTTTTTTTGCTATTCAGCGTTGCGTTTTTAGTAGATTTCATAAAAATCTAACTATTGTATTTGTCCTCATGACGTAATTTTCCGTTAATTTTACTATATTCCGACCTAACTCGACAATCTGAGTCAGAAAATACATATGGTTCAAAAGTTTATATAT